TCTTTCATGATCCATTCATTGTGAGTTGTTATAGCAGGCTCGTGTTCGTGACCATAGGCCCTAAATATCGTCTAGCGGATATCTTGGTGGATATTCTAACACAAGTGAATCCCGACTTTGATGAAATAATGCTTATGAAAGGAGAAAAAGTATTAGCTGGATTGAAAAGGATGGTTTACGAAAGTTTAAAGTATTTGAGATACTTGATCGTGTTGGATGATGTATGGGAAATAGACCTCTGTTCTGTGCTGTTGGAGTTATTTCCAGATGACAAAAATGGAAGTCGAGTGTTGGTCACAACTAGGATGAAAAAAGTAGCTGATTGTGCTAAGCCTTTGAATATTTGCAAAATACCCTTCCTTGATAAGAAAGAAAGTTGGGATCTTCTTCGCGAGAAGGTGTTTGGTGAAGAAGAACCGTGCTCTTATAGACTTGAGAAAGCTGGAAAGAAGATTGCCGAGAATTGTGAAGGTCTTCCTCTTACAATCATCACGGTTGCCAATATCCTGTCAAAAGTTGACAAGACAATAGAGTACTGGAACGAGGTAGCGGATGATAAACAAAATTCAGTATATAAGGATGCATATGAACAAATGTCAAAGGTACTATATCCAAGCTATGACTACTTAGATCAACATTTAAAAGCATGTTTTCTCTACATTGGAGCTTTCCCACAAAATTATTTACTAGACCAGTCCCAACTAGCCAACTTGTCGAGTGCTGAAGGATTTCTTAACTCAGAATCAGTGCATTACTATGAGGAGACCATGGATTATGCATATGATAGCTTTGGATATTGTGATGACCTTTATGCCACAAATGTTATCATGTTCGACAATGAAACATTTGATTTTTACCTTCATTCGTCCTTTTGGTACTTGTGTAACAAAGAAGCTGCCAGGACCAAGTTGTTCTATGCCTTAAATTGCCATGGCGATACTCTACCGGAAGAAGGTATAGAAAGCCAACGCCGATTGTGCATCCGTAATAATGTTCTACTTGCCATCAAAGATGTGCACAACTCAATTGCATCTGATTCAAAGGTACGATCTCTCCTTTGTACCGGTTATTTTCATAAATATCCAGTACCGCTGTTTTTGGAACATTTGAGGTTGCTGAGGGTATTGGATGCTCTTTCTATTAGATTCTATGAGTTCCCGATGGAAGTATTGAAACTAGTTCAATTAAGATACCTCGCCCTCCTTTATAATGGAAACCTCCCTTCTTCCATTTCCAAACTCTGGAACCTTCAATACTTGATTGTTATTCAACATCCAAGGATAGTAAAATCTGTTGGGAATCTATTGTATCTGCCTATTGAGATATGGAATATGAATGAATTGAAGTATCTTTACACCGGCGGAAGAGACCTACCACATCCTTGTTGTGAAGGATCTCTCCTACCAAACCTATTAAAACTAGGTGGTGTCGGTCCTCAAAGTTGTGCCAAATCTGTGCTCGAAAAAATCCCTAAATTGAAGGCGTTATCGATTGATATCGAGCTGGCTCCTGATGCTACAGAGCCCTTGACATGCTTTGATCACGTTTCCCATCTCCATCAACTACAAGAACTAAGATGTTACATTATGAATCCTACATTGAAGACAGAGGTTGTTACCCCACTTGTTCCTCTTTCAGACTTCCCATTAAGTCTTACAGCGTTAGTTTTGAGTGGCTTAGGATCTCCGTGGGAAGAAATGAGAAATATTTCTTCATTGCCAAATCTTACACATCTCGAACTGAAATTCTATGCTTTTCGAGGCCCAAAATGGGAGGTTCGTGACAACGAATTCCAAAGTCTCTTATATCTTGAGATTGAAGACATCAATCTGGAGCAATGGACATTTCAAAATTGTCTATGCCTCCCTGTGATTCAGGGCCTTCACATCGCACATTGCTACAAGTTAAAAGAGATCCCTCTCACATTTGGTAAATCTCTTCTAAGCATTAAAATAGTCGAATGCAACCCTATGGCTGTGAAATGTGCAATCAAGTTAAAAGAGGAGTGGGACGACAAATATGCTGGTCGTGAACGTTTGTTAGAACTTGTTGTTCGTTCTTCACTGTAACAATGGGAACACCAAACCGTGAGTGACTCTACCATATCATTGATTCTTCAAAAGGTTAGTCGTTAAATTTTTATATCTATCGAAAATACTAATATTTTAGTCAATGCCCATTCAGGTAAAAGGAATTAAACAACCTTAAATTTTTTAGTATTAAATTTGAATTAACATATATATATTTTTTATTATAATTTCATCATACAGTGAATATTACCAAAGATATACTCAGTATATATGCATACATTCTCCTACAAAACAAGAGAAATAGACAATATAGATATATGGTTGATAACACATATAATAGGATCATATAAGTTGCGTTTGGATGAAACAGTTTGAATTTGCTACAACAGAGATAGATTTTATTATAGAGTAAATTACGAAAACTCCCTGAACTTAGGCTAAATAACGAAAAAAACCCACATATTCGTAATTACCAAAAACCCCTGAGGTTTGTTTCCGTCTTACACCAACCCTTTACAGTATGAGTTTTCACGTATTTTTTTTAATTCCAAGAAATAGACTTTACACAATTGCACATATTTTCTTTTATTTCTCACCTATTTAATAAAAGGTATAATAGATTGTACAAATTTTCTGTTAAAAAACTCGGTTAACAGTTAATCAGAATGGGATTTCGGTTATTACGGATAGGTGGTGGTGTTTTTCGTTATTTAGCCTAAGTTCAGGGAGGTTTTCGTAATTTACGCTTTATTATATTACAAATTAATTTATTTGATTACTGATTAATGAATTTGCTATTATGGATTAAAAAAAAAAATTAACATCCGAAATCATTGAACATTCTCCTTTATTACAGGTGTATCATCTCGAGAGCCGTAGGCTGATTGATCACGAGAGAAATTACATCGACATTGTTTGCATCAAGAAATCGGAGGAACGTACTTTCAGTTTTGAGACGGACAAATCAAAGCGTGTTTGAATATTTTGTTAATGTTATTTGGTGTGTTTAATTTTTCTTGATTGATTTTTTATTACATCCTCATCAGTTATATGTTGTGAGGTTAAAATTAAGACTATTGCGCAATTAAGAAAGGTGCACGTGTGTCGCACATATTGTCGAATTTACAAATTTTACTCGTCTCTGCCAAAAAAGGTAAATCAAAGATAACTACATACATACGATAACCGAAGTATAAGGAACATATATGCTAGTTAGTCATATTTTCCTATCGGAAAAAAGCCGTGTTTAGTCTCTTGATTTCATATTTCAAAGAACTTAAAAAAAGCCCTCTGTTTCATTACTTGAAGTTAGGTGTAAAATACTCCCCTTTGACAGTTTTCGCGGAGCAAAATCTCACCTTAGAAAACACATAGCAAATGAAAAGAAAATCGAGGATTGTTATAAGCATATGCAGCCTCGAAACACAATATCAAACATCAAATAAAACGAGAAATGGAGGGTTGCGTATTTATGAAATTCCTCTTAAAATTCTACATTTACATGGATGGGGGTATCTTTTCTCTGTCATGTGCGGTGCACATGCTGTTTTCCGTCAAACAACCCCACCCCCAACACAACTACTCTCCATGAAAGCTCTCTAATGGTGCATCAACCGTTGCACACATTCGGGAGCCGTCGTCTACCTGCAATTGCAAACGTCTGGATCTTGATGTCGTGAGGGAGGTACGGTGGTTATGATGGCGGCGGCTGTGGTGGAGGTGGTTTTGGAGTCGACCTCACTCATGTACGAATCAAGGTTCACATAATTTAGAATCGAGTTTTGGGAGGTAAGCTGCCAACCCTCGAACCCCAGAACGAATTGGAGCCGGTTTAGATCTATTTTGTGCTGCCGACTTCCAAGCGACGCCGTTTCGGAGTTCGAGTGCTGGTTGGAGGTGAGGCCGACGATGCCGTTTCGGGGTAGAAATCGAGATTGTTGTTTTCTGATGACGAAGACGTCGGAGATGGTGTGAAGCTGGTTGAGTGAACATTTTTGTTTATTTTGGAGAAGATGGCTTTTTTGAAAAGGTCAAGGATTGAATTGAATTTTTTTTAATATAGAATTTTGGGGTGAATCTGTAATTTTTGAAATTTATAATTAGTAGGGCATTTTGGTCCTTTCGGGTTTAAAATACACCCAGTCGCACAATCCGCATGTGGAGCACACGATAAGCTGGCAGGGCCCTTGTTGCCTTTGACTAATTTTCATACGGGGCTATTGCTAATTCATCACATATTCAGATTGTTCAAAATTCATCCCCATACAGGGGTGGTTTTTGCAAAAAAAAAAACATAATAGAATACAACCTGTTCATTAGAAAAGTTAATTAATGGGCGACATGGATTAATAAATAAATATTCCTTTGCACATGCTTCCAGAGCAATAACTTCAACAAACAATGCCTATGAAGAAATTTATTCAAAAAAAATCAGATGCTGACAGTGATTTGTCAAACAGAGAGAGAGAGAGTTGAAAGATGGCTTATGGTGCTGTTTCTTCTCTTGAGCTGACAATTGAGCGCCTTTTGAATTCATCACATATTCCGATTGTTCAAAATTCATCCCCACAAATCCTAAAACATCTGTATGAGAATATTCTTTCCTTAAAAGAAGATCTGGGAGAATTCGACAAATGGAGGAGCACCATTAACATGAAGATGGTAAAAACTTTGGAGGCGGAAATGATAGATGCAGTATACAGATTTGAAGATGTAATAGAATCTCATGTCTTAAATCAGTTCCACTCAACACAATCCGAAGAAGCTGGGAGTGATCATCCACCATTAACGGTATACTCAGCAGATGTGGAGGAAATAAAGCAAGATGTCGATTCCTTTATCCAAATGGTGAACATTATGAAGAGTGCCTACATTCATGAGTTACGCAACCCTTCTCCCGAATAAGAAGAAGAAGAAGATGATGATGATGTTGTCCCGACAATAACTGATTCTGGTGGAAATGAGTCTAACATGGTTGGATTGTCCGATCTATTTATGAGATTAAGAGATTGGCTTATTTCCCCACACTCTGAATTGATAGTTATGTCGCTCGATGGGATGGCTGGCATTGGTAAGACTACTATTGCCAAGAAACTATTTCAAGATCCGTTCATTGCGAGTCATTATAGCAGGCTTGTGTTCGTGACAATAGGCCCTAAATATCGATTAGCGGACATCTTGGTGGATATTCTCACACAATTGAATAATGCTGACATTGATGAAATAATATGGCTTACGAAAGGAGAAGAATTATTACATGAGCTGAAATGGAAGGTGTGCGAAAGTTTAAGTGAATTGAGATACTTGATCGTGTTGGATGATGTATGGTACACGGATCTCTGTTATGAGTTCGCCAACGTATTTCCAGACGACAAAAATGGAAGTGTAGCATTACTGACTACTAGGCTAACAGAAGTAAGTAAATGTGTCCACCCTTTGAATTCTCACAGACTACCCTTCCTTGATAAGAAAGAAAGTTGGGAACTTCTTCGTCACAAGGTGTTTGATGCAATGCCTTGCCCTCGTGAACTCGAGAAATCTGGAAAGAAGATTGCGGAGAATTGTGAAGGTCTTCCACTTACAATAGTTACAGTTGCCCACATCCTTTCCAAAACTGACAAGACTTCGGTGTACTGGAACCAGGTAGCTAATGATAAACAAAATTCGGTTTACAAGGATGCATATGATCAAATGTCCAATGTACTATATCCAAGCTATGACTATTTACCTCAACATTTGAAAGCATGCTTTCTCTACTTAGGAGCTTTCCCACAAGATTATATGGTGTGGAGGCGCCAACTGATCGACTTGTGGAGTGCTGAAGGATTTCTTAACCGAAAATCAACCATGACTTCAACTGATTATACGTTTGCTTATGTAGGAGCGCTTCTTTCAAATAATGTTATCATCTACAATGAAGAAAAGTTTATATATCACCTTCATTAATCATTTTGGTACTTGTGTAACAAAGAAGCTGCCAAGAATAAGTTTTTCGATGCATTCAATTGTCTTGCCGATGCTCTACCAAAAGAAGGTATAAACTACCAGCTGCGCCGATTGTGCATCCGAAATAATGTTCTACTTGCTATTGAAGATGCGCACGATTCAATTGCATCTGCTTCAACGGTACGCTCTCTCCTATGTACCGGTCCATATCATCAATATCCTGTACCATTTTGTTTGGAACAATTAAGGTTGCTCAGGGTATTGGAAGCTCTTTCTATTAAATCCTATGAGTTCCCAATGGAAGTGTTGAAACTATTGCAGCTAAGATACCTCGCCCTCACTTACGATGGAAACCTCCCTACTTTCATTTCCAAACTATTCAACCTTCAGTACTTGATTGTTCATCATCAGTACCGGATCGTAAAATCTGTTAGGAATCCATATTATCTGCCTATTGAGATATGGAATATGAAAGAATTGAAGTCTCTCGAGATCCGGGGAAGAGACCTACCACATCCTTGTGAAGGATCCCTCCTATCAAACCTCACAACTCTAACTGGTGTCGGTCCTCAAAGTTGTACCAACGATGTGCTTGAAAAAATCCCTAATCTGAAGGAGTTAACAATCCAAATCGAACTAGTTCCTGATGCTTCTGAGCCCTTCAGTTGCTTTGATCACATTTACAATATGCATCAACTACAAGAATTAGAATGTGAAATTACAAATCCTATTTTCAAGGCTGAGGTTGTTACCCGATTTGGTCCTCTTTCAGACTTGCCATCAAGTCTTACAAAGTTAACCTTGAGCGTCTTAGGATATCCGTGGGAAGAAATGAGAAAGATTTCTTCATTGCCAAATCTTACAGACCTGGTATTTCAATGC